ATTTTTGGTCGTGTAAATCGCGTCTTGTAATGCATTCAATGCTCTATAGCTCGATCGGTTAATTATTCAAAATTGTGGAAGTTACGCAGGTTTTTGTTGCAGGTCTACATTATTTAGAGCTTTAATTCTGCCCAGTCGCTGAATAATATCATTTATGCTGTAGTTCACTACCGGTGATAAGGTTGTACTCTTAGATCTTGTGGCCCGAAGCTTTAGCTGCTAAAGAGCTAGACAAAAACATGCTACTGTTCAAGTCTGGATTTTCTTGAAAGTTGACTATAATACTAATGAGCGCATGCGCATTCTATTATGAACATTCATAGCAATTGGTCGAAATAAAGCTCTCTCCGTTGTGACCAACTACATACGCCAAATGCGCAGGAAAAAGACACTGTTCCAAATACTATAAATTCGGCTTGCTATGTCTAAACTGGGGTCTAGGTAGGCATTACTTCACTAAAACACTGTGTACCCTGACCGTTAGATACATTTTCCATTAAATCGATCACCGCTGGAGAACAAATTTTCTCCGCAGCTCGAAAATTCATTATGTCCTCCAACTGTGTCGACATATGGCTGTCTTTGGTGCCGTGGAGTATGAAGATACTATGAATGATCCCACTGCCATTTTTATTCGGCTTCGATTTTAGTCGTGTATTGGTTTACTGTGAATTACTCGTGCATGCATTTCAAGTAGTACTTGATATATTACATAAATGGTATTAGCATGGTGCAACGATTTATTTTCTTTATTAGAAACATTATTATTGTTAACGGTAGGTATATTTACTTGTTGAATGGTCCTCGTAACACTTCTAACCCGAAATTTTACGGTCCTACGATTTGTCGTTATCGTTGATTAACATTCGCCATTCGTTCGTCAGCTGTGACAGAGTGCACTTGATTTTTAATCACACAGCGAAACTCATAGGATTTTAATTGCCGCCACCCGTGTCTATTAATATTCGGTTAATTGGGGATTCCGCATCAATTTGAGAATGGCATTTCACCCCTTCACTCCAGTAGGAGGATATAGTTGCGTTATTTTTTTTATTGTAAGTACGCCATTTGCATTTAACCTGCTTGACGTATATTTTCTATAGGTTCCGGCTGATATTTAATACGATTTTCCATCGACGATTGTTGCACGTTCATTTATAATTAGCCCTCTTATTTAAAGAGGTATGTGCATTTTAAGGTTATCATCAACGTGGGGTACATTTAATTTCTTTTAGGGTTTTAATTTCCAGTTTTAATGTGACTTTCAAGGCTATTTTAATTTATGGTACCAGTTCCAATCCCATCTTAAGTATAATTCCGGATACGTTTTGCATACGCATGTGAGTAACTTTACTATTTACTGATAAGGGAGCCGCCATTTGCTGAAACTGGGCCATGCACCAGATTTGATAACAAGATTCGATCCACAACCAAAAAACAACTTCCGTAACAGCGTATTAATCAATTACTATTTTTTCCCCTTCAGAGTTATATGCTCTTACTTTTAATTAACTTGTTACCTTCAGTATTTGTATTTATTATCTTGCGACCTCTGTAAAGTTATGATCGAGTTTTCTCAGTAGACGGCCACTTCCTTCCGAAGCGTTGGCTAAGTAAGTAGAAGCTTACTACGAGTAAGGCGAGGCCCTTCAGGCATTGTTCAGTTCTTTGCATTTCGGGCTCTGCAGCTTGGGAGTTTTCTTTTGTTTGCAGATTTTATGGAAATCCTGGAATTGAGCTCATTTCTCTGTATGACATCTTCTCTAATACGAAATAAAGGTAAATTTTGTCTCGTGATCACGTCCATTTTAACTAATTGCAAATAAGTTATACGTAATTAATTTCACACCCGGCACAAAATTCCTATTCAAAACATAAATTTATAAACACATTTGGATGCTCAACTAAAAATTTAAGCCACACAAAAGAATGATATTAATGAGTTTAAGAATCCCTTCACATTTCATGAGAAAAACTTTACCAATATCTTTGATTTGACTGTTCATAAAAACTACGCAAATTGGTTAGAAAGACTTACGAAATCCTCAAAAACTGTCAATTCTTATTTTGACACAATATAAAAAATTCATTAACTTATATTTATCCATGAGTCGAAATATGCCCTGATTGACAATTGACTTTTTCCTTTGGGAAGGTAGCAGCGAGTTGGAAAATTGGAAGGTGAACGCCTTTCTGATAATACAATCGGACTTTTGTATGGTTAGGTAAAAATTTGGTTACTCGTTGGAAGTGAATCTAGATAGATGATTGACGAATTTGAATCCAGAACAAACCCGTGCTTCAGGTTCCTCACAATTTATTAGTTTTAATTGGTTTATTTACTGGAGTGGTATGGAAATGTCCAAAATTACTCTTATAACCTAAGTGTTTTGACAGCGAACAAAGGCACGAATTAATTGTCTTTATCCTTTTTACCGGTTGCCGTTTATTTATGTTATTAGCACCTCGTATAAATAAATTAGGTGGACAATTTTGATTATTTAAGGTAACTTGCTGCTCCAAAAATAGCGCCACGAAATGTTTGCACCTTGAACCCTAACGCTTTCGTGGTAACAATTTTATAAGCGCGAAGCATAAAACGGAAAAGAAATTAGTTGGATGCAAAAGATCAATTTTAATTCACAAAATAAATAAATCACAATTGTATGCAGTTAATTTGAAGTACTTTAAGAATCTTCGGTAGTCTGCAGGACAGATGGTGCGGAAGTCTCGTTGGAATGGTACGATTTATTGCGAGCGGCACCAAGAGATTTCTTTTTTGCTCCTGCTCAAAGGCGCCGGGACGGTCGCGGATTTCCGGAGGCCACAGGCAGTCGGATGGAGAAATCGAAAATTCCAGTGGATAGGCGATTTCTCAAGCGAGAACGGAATTACAAGTTAACTAACGGTATTTACTCGGAAACAAGATGCGGGAAAGCAAAGCAAAAGCTCTCTTATAATCAACGGAATAAAAATATTTCACTTATCTTGAAAATCAAATAGTACCTCTCAAATAAAGCTCTTATCTTTTATAGAATTCCCAAAATGCGGAAAGAAAAGGGCTCCGTATAGCCCAAATAATTAATAACTATCAAAGTACTCGAAATTGTTTAATTAATTTCTCGGCTTCTGATCATAATAACAATCTCGGACTAGTTTTAAAATCCATAATAAATTAGCGCGCTTCCAATAATACTAAACACAATCTAATCAAACGAGGTTTTCTGCAATACATCTACCGGTATGTATGCTCACTCAAATCTGACCCAAAGTATGTAGTCCAGTTACTGGGAATTCGCGTGTCAAGCGGGAGGTCTGCTTATTTATTGTACACCGGCGACCATGTCCGTTTCTATCTTAGTTTATTAGCATTGGGACTCTAAAATCTTCTAATAATTAATAAACGGAACGGAAATCACAAAATATTAATTTTGTATCGTCTTCCAAATGACGGGAGCTTTCGGTACCTGCAAGGATAATTAAAATCTGTACGCACAAATTAAAGCAATTCAGGATAAGTGGGTTAAAATCCTGGTATATTTAGAACAGGGAACAGGGTTCCATTAATTTTTTTATTCAATATACACAACCATTTAGTAAACATTTGAATTGTTTATCGACCATCGAAATTTGTTTGATAGGTATTTTCGCACGATTAGGGCGTTGTGCGTAGATGCACCATCCTGTTAAAACCACCAGCTTCCATGTTTTTCTTGTGTCTTTTAATGATTGTCCATTCTCCCGTATTTTTCACCACAATAATACTTCATGAACTGAATTTCTGCTTTATCAATTTTTGCATTTCAAGTTCGATAGTTTTCCTTTACATACGATCGTATTGCGGTTTTTCGCCTTTACGAAGGATCTTCCCAATTTATATTATAGGGTTGTGTTTCTTATGCCAAACGCCAAACCAATAGCAAAAATTATAAACATAAACCAATAAATGCTTAGACTGAAAACTAGAAAATTTCTGTCCCGATATTTTGGGGGAAGTAGATTAGTCTGGATTTTGCACCTAGGCCAGACGTTACAGTCGCCGAAATTGTTTGGTTGTTTCTTGTAGAAAAGTCAAGCAACAATAAAATTGTGGTCCTGTGTATTTTCACTCGTTTGGAGATACCTATGCGGAAATAAATACTTGCGATTTTTCAATTGGGCAAAAGTGGCGAGTGTAGTTTATTTATTTCGTAGAAAATTTATGCACCAGAAATTAATCGTGATGCCCTTTCGACCTGGGACCTGGGAATAACCGTTCTAGCGGTACTTCTCAAAATAGAAAAATCAGTTAAGATTTTCTAATATACATAAGCAATTCAAATGGACCTTTAGGTGATTTTTCAATAGGGAACTTGCATTCATATTTTCAGCTTAATTAATCAATCGTAATCTGGGAGTCAGAACCTAAGGATACCAATCAATCATTGTTGAGATGGAAAGTGAATTAACCTTCGAGTTCCATTTTGCTAAAATCCATAAATTTGAAATGCTGCGTGCCATGTAAAGAGGGCATTCGTATGCAACCTTCATGAGATTCTTACACATCCTACCCCAAATCACGCATAACTCCCTTTTCTACGAACAGTCTTAAACTTTTTGGATAACACTGAAAAAGGTCCTTTGCATTCTCTCTATTTATATGTTTATTGAAGACGACATATTCAGTCAACACAAGAGTGTGTTGGTGTTGGCTTATGACATTCACTAATAGCATGTAATCAATAACAACACGGTTATTATGCGTATAATTATTATAAATTGTCTAAACCTGTCGTCGATTTACTGTGTAATTGACATTCTGCATTAAAATGCTACGCAAACAATAAATACGTGGGTTTTGGGGCCAAATAAGACAAATTCGAATTATAAGCTGCACCGTTTAATGAAACAAGATACTGTTGAGAGTGCGCCCCAGGCAATAAACTTGTCTGGGTCACGTTACGAACACTTCATAATCGCATCATTCCGGTACATAATTTAGAAAGTAAAGTTCACGGGCAGACAATAATTGTTACAATTACACCTTGACGATGCACCATTTCCTTCTGTAGAAAGTAGAGGTCATGATTTAATTTTCGTTGCTTTACATAACTACTAGCTAACGTGGGATGTGAGCACCTTGGGGATGAAACCCATTTTCGTCCGCCACGTAAGTTACGGTGTACACGACGCCATCCAAGCCCACGTAAGAGTATTGCCCCCTAACCACCATCGACTCCCCTTCGGTACCGATATTGACAAGCTGTCCGGTTTCGAGGTGCGAAATTCCGTTGCTTGTTTCAAATCTGACAAACAAGGGGATGAAATCGAAGTTTGCATTTCTTTAGCTTACCCAAAATTGTAACCTTCTTCGCCACCATTGTTGTTATCGTATTTAAGAATTACAGCATGACGATCTGGATGAAGTTGAGGAGCACCAAGAATGGTGGCTGTTAGCGCAAGTACAGTAAAGACAGTCTAAAAACAGGAAGTATAGATACCTAATTTTCATTACAATAGAACTTTACCGATTGCATTGTGATGATGTGATGATGTGCAGAATAAAAATTTGGCCTTTTTATATCAAATCTAATTGAGGAGGGTTCGACTTCACTTAACATCATCACGAAACGTTGGCATTTATTATCTTAATTTTCAGTCATAATATCAACAGAGTTACTGCTTAAAATTATATGTTGTTGAGGTTCAAGCGCTTTAGCCAATTACATAAACCAATACTATTGGAAAAGGGAATATTCGTGCATATACACATTATAGTACTTATTCACGTTCTCTCCAACATACAATTACTGATGGCAAACAATTTATTGATCAGAACAGAAGTGGAGGATAACTTTCATTGGATATACATATTAATAAAATTTGGGTACCTATAATTGGTAGGTATAATTTTTGTCAAGGGTTACAGACTACATGTCTCACGTTATCAAAATTTGTTCACAGTACCTGAGACGGTTGGTAGCGTTACATGCCAAATTGATCTAAAGGGTGGTCCTTTATTGTAAGAGTGCGCAGCAAGGGTGTCACTCATTGTCCCATCCCATAAAGCAAATACGCTGCCGTGAATAAAATCAATAACAAAAAAAATTAATATTTTTTGCAGATTTACTGCAAAACTTGGCAGAAATTCTATTCACAATCACAATTCGGCTGTAAACACTTTCCCGAGATTATACAGGTGTTAGGGTTTGGTTTTTCATGTTTCATTTAAGTTTATCTGGAAGGTAAAAACTCAGGTGAACGCATCTGTATCCATGTAAATTAAATGTCAGAACGATTTTAAATAATTTGAGTGTAATGTTTACCAACTGTTAAAAAATGTGTGAAGGGTGCTCAGAAAATGAGGTCAAAGCCGTCAATTTCGTTAACACGAATATTTAATTTTTAATCGGAAACCTTTTGTCTTCACGGGTGTGTTATATTGAATACAAGGAAAAAAATTGTATTTCTATTTTAACATGGAAAATCTTAAGAGTGTTCGGAAAATTTAATATTCTTACAAACTGTGGAAGCTCTTAAAAACCAGAGACTCTCAAAACTTTTGAGCTTCAAGTAAAAATGATCAAGGAAAATCGCTGCTCAATCAGAAAATGGGTCTGCACATGTTACCACTACCCATTAACGCCCAGTGATCTGTTTATAGATCCACCACGTATGCTATAAGTACCATTAAAATGATTTTTGTTAATGTTCTTGTTTATAACAATATATGTATATACCCACTGTATGGTCGTATGGACCATTGGATATACACTGTCTCCAAGATAGAGATATCTAACATGGAGATCTCCGAAACCATAGGACGATGGTCAAATTGGGAAAAAGTTGCGGAATTAAACAATTATTATTATGCTTGAAAGAAAACTAGAATTTTCGGATTACTTCCGAAGATATGCCAGAAAAACAGAAATTTGTCGATTTGGTTCTATCTTTTTAACTGATGTTATTTGAACAAATAAAAAAATAAAAAAAAACACTTTCTTCGCTGAGAGATTTTCGTTTCGGAGAAATCATCGACTTTATTTTTTTATATGGTCCGTAAAAAAAGTACACACTGTATTGAGTAGCATTTTTTTGATTACGAATTCAAAAAAATAAATTGGAAACTGTTGGTTTCAACCGGATGGTACACCCGCGGACAAAGTCCTAATCGTGCGAAAATACCTATCGGACACATTTCCTGGAAAATAGATAAATTGCCCGATAGGTATTCTCGAACGATTAGGGCGTTGTGCGCCGAAGCACCATTCTGTTGAAACCAGCAGAGCCGCCAACTTATTTGCTATTCGTAATAAAAAAATACTATTTTAGTACAGTATGTTTTTTTTTGCGGGACATATAAAATGATAAAGCTGATGAAGATTTCTCCGTTGTATTGAAAATAACGGTGTCTTATAGAGCTCAAAACGGGAAACGAGAAAGCGTTTTTTACTTGTTTGTATCTGTTCAAATAATATTAAAAAAATAGAAATGAAATCGAGAAATTTCGGTGTTTCTGGCACATCTTCGGAAGTAATCGGAATCTCCATGGTTTCTTTAAACCATGATAGTTACTCTTTAATTGCGCATCTTTTCTCTAATTTGACCATCATTGTATCTTCTATGGTTTCGGAGATATCCATGATAGACATCCTTCTCTTGGACACAGTGTATATTGTTATAAATAATAACATAATTAACAAAAATCATTTTAATGGTAATTATAGCATACGGTATTCACAGTCACCTACCAACATTATTGAAACGTACAGGTATGTTAGATTACATTTCGTTTTTTGATATCTTTGCTAATTACATTGTTATAAACATTCAAAGATCTTGATCTATATTCAACGTGTCAACGGCAAAACTTTATATGGACTTTTATTTAGTGGTGAAATTTTGAAATCTCATAAGGAAGTAGGAAGAAAATTAATAGTATATGAGATACCGTCCCAACCTGATATTCTCTGCTCCCAGCCACCCCCGGTCCAAAATTTAAATGACACCCTGCATTTTTTCACGAATTCAGTTTTTTTGTTACACTATGCAAAGAAATGAGTTTTTTACATATTGAACTCATATCAGATTTTTAATATGAAGAAAAAAATGAATAAGTCGTATTTTTTGTTATAAGCTATATATTTTTGAGAGTTTGAATTTTTTTGTTACAATCTGCTTTAATTTATTTCGACATTTGCCCACTGTCCAAAGTTACCAGTTTTTCTTCTTAACTTTTAGCTCTAAATATCTTACAAAGTTCATTATGTAACTAAGTCATTTCTTTGCATAGTGATACTAAAAAAACTACGCTCTTTCAGAATTCGTGAAAAAAATGCAGGGTGTCATTTGAATTTTTGAACCGGGGGTGGCTGGGGGCGGCAAATATCAGGTTGGGGAGGTATCTCATATACTATTAATTTTCCTCCTACTTCCTTAATGAGATTTCACAATTTTAAGTTGATGGCTCTACCTCCACGCAATTTTGCCTCGCCGAATTGACAGCGCATTTTCTTGCCTTGTTTTTTGAGTGTCAATTTTCATTTCTTTTCCTCGTTAAAGTAGAATGCATGGAATTCTAATTTCCATCTTCCGGTGTCTGGCGATTGAATTCGTAATTTGGGACTTTCGTAGTGATTATTTGGACGAGATTTACCTCTGCTCCTATAATCCAGTTAAATTGTATCCTTCCAGGAAAGTTGCGGGGTAGTGACGGCTTTTTTAAAACTGAAAACGCCAACAAAATTTAAGTATTTGGTAAGGAAATTGCGCACTTACCATTTCTATTATAGTCAAGGAAATTATGAATGGCATCTACCCCAGGTAGAAGCTAATTAATAATTATAATACTGTTCACTATTTATACTTCAAAATATAAATATTCATCACTATAATATTATATTTTATCCACATTGTGACATTAACTGATTATTATATTCTGGAGGGAGAAATGTTGGGCTGTTCTGAAGGGGTGGGCAGTAATAAAGTTATCAAATGCAAATGTTAAATAACCAAACGCATTCAAACGCGTGGGCAATCAATTGAGCAATTAATCAACGATTTATAACATCACAAATCTTGCATCTCGTATTGTCAAATAACTCAAGTTAGACATTTGCCCCTCTACATTAATTTCCGAACTACAACACTATGATTTATATGTCAAATTGTGAAAGCGATCCGTAGACTAAAATCATAAGGTCTCGACCGAGCATAACCCGATTAAACTTATGTCACTTAAATACGTAAGACAAACAACAAGACCATGCGATGATGAACCCGGAAACATTTCGTAATGTAGAATTTTACAATTAGTTGGTCAATATTTACGTTGTAAATTTATTGTGCCTACCTACTTCAATACGATCGGTCATTTTTTGCGCAAAACGCCTTATATAATTTCTGTTAATGAACTGTATTTGCAGAACGAGATCAATTACTACCGTTAATAATTTAGATGCCCGAAAGGGGTTTGGACGATTTTCGTGTTCACAATTGAAAAGTCGTGCGGAGAAAAGACACCCGGTAGGTATTAATCTATTCATCTTCTTACCTGAATAGAAAAATTACAGTAGATACTTTCCGTTTCTATAGGGAATAATGTGGGTTGAGGCAATGCAGCTGAGCTGACGCTTTTTTCTGGATTTTTAACATCCAATCAAATCTATAATTTATAAATCGGTAATACGGAAATAAGTAACGTGTTGAAAACGCTGGCAAAGGGATGATTATTGTGTTTACAACACCCAATAAATGGCACACGCAGGATTTTCCATTGAACATACGACGGAGCAACTATGAGTAACAAAATTTAGGAGCAGCAATTTTTCTGGTTTTGAGTTTTTCGCTAGTTTTTCCTCATGTTTTTTCCAACGTTTTGTCCCCCCTCCCCAAATGGTCCTCGAATTCCTTCCAAACCTTCTTAAAGTTTTCAGACGTAGATTTTAAAGTCTTCAGCCTATTCGCAATAAGTCCCTTTTAATCTCCCTCGCATTATTCTCGGGTTCATTTTAAGTCACGATTAAATTGTTCATTAGATAGGTCTTAGAACGCTTTCAGCAAAATTGTTGATAAGAATTTAATATGGGTTTGTTGTTTCTGCGGCACTGATGATTAGCTAAATATTCACCCGGATTTATATCTGAAAAAGACCTTGTGCCAAAAAGGGAGTTTCGATTTCGAATTGTATTTTAACATTAATTTTTTTGAATAATAATCCGTAAGTGTTAAAGAGAAATGGTTTTCGATCAAGTTAAAAAACAAATCTATTTAAATAAGAGACGTAGCTACCTTATCGATTTTGTTATTGCGTTTAGCAGCAGTAGTAATAAATGGGGTTAACGGCCGGTTGCAGGAAAGCGAATTATAATCAAAATCCTAGATTATTTGCCAAATCTGAGATTAAACAAGAATTTTGACATTTGATTGGCTGCATACTGCACTTTAAAGCCAATCAAATGTCTTAATACCGGATTAAACAATAATCCTGGATTTTTTTTGTGCAACTGGCCGTTAGAGAGTTTACGTGCATTCTAATTGAACGAACAAACTCACCCTTAGCCTTATTAGTTCAGTTTCCCCAAGTCT